ATAACAAAGATGAAGCCACCTATTACCGAGTCTAGTGACGGCTAATAGCACGATCAGAGGGACTAATCCAAGGTATTAAGGACTGTAATTGTTCAAATAATATCATGGTTATTAGAACACCCAAGCACGAGACATTTTTCATTTTGCATAATATGAAAGTATGGCAGGTGAGCTTAGCCTTCCCCTGACAGGCACTTGTTATAGATATGTAAATATTAGAAAATCGCTTCCGTGCTGCAATTTTCCTGCAGCGTCCAGAATGCATTTCTGATACGCAGACGTTATGTTTCATGACATTTACTAAACCACGTTTGGGTAATTTTGCCGAGCGTTACACTCTTGAAAAGCTTTTATTCACCCAAAACAATTTACTGTGAAAGTTGGTGCTAATGTTTTACTTTACTGAGGCATTTTTAGTTTCGTGGATTTAATAAGGCAAATGCTAACACACAAAAAAGCACCGTTTCTCAGAGATGAGTTCAGGAAACAGCTACGGGAGGCTGAACACTCACACAGTTAATTCTGTGGGAACTTCGGCCCTAAGTTTGAATTCTCATAAGTTTTATGAGACTGGGTCTAGGCATAGGTATCTTAGGTTCACACAGTTCTTATTCAGAATATTAGAAAGAAATGTGGTCACCTTGAAAGAATACAAATAGCACAAGAGAACCCTCAACATCGAAAACACACAAGGCTACTAAAATGCTTCCCTGTTTCTTTCAGTTGCCAGTGGTTGAGAATCCAAACCACAAGTTGTACTGGAGGAGAGGGTTTAAAACAGTAAGATGTTTTAGATGGTCAGAGTTTGTAGGGCACTTAAAAAATAAAACAAGGGGCACATACGTTGGCTCACAACCACCAATTAACCCTCCTTGTTAGATAGGTAATTTATTCCACTCAGAGGCATCAAATGTCAGAGAAATCATGGGCCAAAACAGTAATTATCCACAGGGGATTCAAAGGCTTTGAAAGCCAATAATTCCAAAGAAATAAAAACAGAGTTCTTTCACTGTATAGACTTTGTCTTAAAACCTATAATAAGAGCCAGGCCCTGGCTGTGAACCTGTACACGTCAAGGAGACAAAAAGGAGGCTGCAGAGGCAAAGGCAATAATCGCGGGGCTTTTCTGCATAAAACTATGTGGAAGTGGAGGTCAAAGACCAAAGATTCCGGGCACTGTCCATATCACACCAAATCCTGATCCAACGGAGGAAATGAAGGGCTCGATTGGCCAAACGTGGGCCTGGAGAAAAATATTAAATTGCTGAGCTAAAGAAGATGACCAGAAACTCTATTTAAAAAGTCGAGCAGTTTAATTTGCATTTTTAAAGCTTGAGTGAAATTAAATAATCTTTTATAGGTTAAAAAAATAATCACTGAATTTCTCAAACTCCATGGCAAACTCTTCTTAAGAAATGCATTTGTTCTAATGCATATATTCTTAATACTGCATCTTCTTTATGCTGCATTCTTATTTTGCAAAGTCTAGTCTTGGAAATCTGTAGCTAGTGGATCTGGTCATTGAATATCTGACAGTGATGCTCTCCCTTAATTGCACCCTGATTTATTTTCTACCTTTTCTTGTATGTTCTATATCAAAAAAAAAAATCCTGAAGGCTAGAGTTCAAATCTGTAATAAATCATCTGCGTTCCATATTCCATGTGTGAATGGACTAGCGTTTGGTGTTTCTCTCCTTTCAAATACATGGCTTAATGTTCTGTATGGGAGGCCTTAACTTTTAGATGTTGACTATCACTTTCTTAGAAATTCATAGGGGTAACACCTACTTTTCACTCAAGGTCAAGGAACAAATCCACAGGCCTAATTTAAATGATTCCTCGCCCCCTACTTCACATCATTATAAACCCACACCAGATGTGAGGGAAAGAGAAGCTCTGTTGCTTGTGGTTCAGTTGCTCTGACTACCTCTGTTGATTCTCCTGTGGACTTGGGAGAACAGATTTGCATTTTCTGTAGCAAACTTTTCCAGTGAAATAGAACTTTCCAAAATTCTGTTTTTGTCCTCAGTTAGGTTAATGTTAGAATTGGACATTGTTGCGGTCTGTGACAGTCTAAGATACGAATCTCGTCACTTTGCAGACTGAATAAGGTTCTTGGCTGATGTTTGAGGACAGTTGACAACACGTACGTAGCATAAATAATCATGTGGCCCAGCTGTCATCCGTCGTGGCTTAGTGAGCACCTCCTGGCCTGTCGTCCAAAGCAGCGGACTAGATCTCTCTGACACTTCTGTGCAACACTTAAGTCTCTGTGATACTATAATTTGTTCGATTTAGATCAAGACATTTTATTATACTTAAGAGAGCACTTTATTTTCTGACTAAAGAAAAGCAAGACAAATTTTAAATTACATTTATTTTGGTAATTAAAGATAAAATTGCCTGTATCTGAGCTGGCAGGAACATTGAAATTCAATGCTGCAGTGCCATTTTTAGCACTTCAAATTTCTCAGCACATTAACATTCTCTTGTGTGTTCCTTTTCCAGGGGTTTCTACAGGGAAATAGTGGCCATAACTTCCAAAAAATGGAAAGCAAATACATAGATAATGAGAGCCCCCTCACATCCTGCCCTATTCTCAGAGTCAGATTCTGAACATTTTGTGGTGTTTAAGTAAGAAATAGAAGAATGAGAGAGAAACAAATGGAAACTTCTCAGGGACACATGGACAGGATAGAGCAGCTCAGTGGTCATGTATGTTATTTAGTAAATTAACTCATGTGCTACAGTTTTCTTTATGCCGATGACGCTGACATTTATATTTTCATCCTGACTGGTTACCGGAGTTTTCATCTCGTGGTGCAACTTTGCATAGCTCATTGGTATTTGTACGGCCCAGTGTCATGTGGAGCTCAACAGACTTAGAATGAAACTTGGTTCGGTTTCCCAGTGCCTCCTGTGTGCAGTGTTTCTTTCTTTCCAAATCCAGGGCTTTGCCTGTGGCTTCCACAGACCTGGGCGCCCCCTTCCTCCTTGGCCCAGTGCTCCTGTCAGTAGCAACTGTATCACCACTGCCGAAGGTCTCCAGGTTCAAAGCCTGGAGGGCGCTTCTAATTTATTGCTCTCCTTCATTCTTCATAGTGATTAAGTTCTTAAAATTTTCCTTTAGACCAAGTGCTGTGATGTTGTTTCCTTTCTATACCATAGTCATCAGGCAACCGCAGATGCCTGGCATGCCCTGTCGGAATGAACGCAGCCGCCTTCCAGCAGCTCTCCTGGCCACCTCTTCCCTTGCTCTACTCCCACTGCTAAACCCACTCCCCTGCTGAGAAGCCTGGGAAGGGTCCTGATCTCCCAACATCGTGTCCAAACTCTGCTGCCTGTGTGTCTCCCTCCACCTGCATTTCGGAGTCACCTTTACCCCATCACCCACGCCTCCCTGCCCGTTGGTCTCACCTGTCTTCTCACTCTCCAGGCTTCTACTTCTCAGCTTTCCACTTTCTCTTCCTAGCCAGCTCCCCACATCCTAACCACGTTTTAGCCTTTCCCCCGTGAGTTCTTTTTTGATTGTTTCCATATACACTTCGATCCCCTTTCCCTTGAATTCCTAAGTCACAGCTTATGGCAGAATGGAAACAGATAAACTTGGTTCAGTAATGTATCATCTTTAGACCTGGAGCAAGTCACTTTACCTCCCTGAGCTTGTACTGCCTTTTGTATCAAATGCAGATATTAATAAGTGAGATGCAAATGATAACAGAATATGAAAGTCTTGAAGTTCTGCCGTGTGATCAGATCCTTAGTGTTAGTTGCATTTGATTTTTTAAAACTGATTTTAACTACTTGATGTCTGTCTGTCTGTCTGTCTCCCTAATTTGGCTTCAGGAGAGCAAGTACATCCCTTTCTCCCTTCAAAAGCCTGGAATTGTTATGTAAAAATTTGTGGCCAACTAACAAATCTGGAGTAAAACTTCCATTCGCGGAAACTTGGCCTAGAGTTTTCCAACAAGGCATTTGAAAGTTTGAAAGCTAGTCCAGTCTTGGACTTTGAAAATACCTAGAGTAGAAACAAACAAGCAACGACAACCTGAAAGTTAAGTCTTGTAGAGCGAAGCCTTACCCCTACGTCATTCCTTGCACAACAGTGTAACTTCATAGAAGGTAGTTTATCCTGTTATCTTAGGAACTAAATATATCAGTTGTAAAGAAATAAAGATTTGAAGACATCCTGACCCACGTCTACCCAGGGTAGTTTCTAATAAATATCAGCTATTTTCCCACTGGATTTTTTATTTTAATTTAGTTATCAGTCACTTATATAATACTTTTTATGGGCAGGTATTGTGTGAACACTTTACAAATGTCAGCTCGGTTCATCCTCGCTGCCCCGCAGTGTTAATAGGGTTAGTTTACTGATAAGAAACGAATGCGTGAAGGGTCTGAGTGACATGCCCAGGGTCACACAGCGAGGAAAGGTGGAGAAGGACTTGGACCCAGGCAGGCAGTTGGCCCCCAGAGTCCCATACTCTTAACCAAGAGGCTCATGGTGGCTCTTTGAGCCTTATCCATTTTCATACTTTTCTTCTTGTCTGGACTGCTTTCACTGGCCCCTGAACGATAGCCAGCAGAACTCTGGGACACAATAAATGTTCATCCCAGTAGTCAGACTCCGCTCTCTTCCCTGACCTGTCGAGTCAGAAGTAGGCTGTCCAGCTCCCAGAGGGACAAACTTCACAGGCATATGGGATGGGAGAATGACTTTTTCTCTTAATGGGAGGGTAGGGATGATTCTTTTTATATACAGAGGGTATTTTGCTTTGCCTCAGAGTTTAAGAAAGGAGAATTGACCGAGTTGAGTCAGTTTTATAGTCATCACCAAGAATTTCAAAATACATGTAAATGCAGTGTCACAAGATAATGGCCTCAATAACACATTGCCAATTGTGAGCGAGATAATAGCAAATTGTATTGACTTAGCTAGTTTACTTAATTATATTTTGCCAAGTACTCAACTGTACTTTTTTGAATTGTGATTTTAGATTTGAAGCAGATCAGCAGTTCGTGAGGAAAAGGCTTCAGCGTGTTCTAAGAGCCTGTTTTTCTAGAACTGTATCATGTTTAGAAGATCATCAGCCACCATACCAGTGATGTCATCTGATAGAGCGTGAAGGTAAGATTTTATCCCCTTTTATGTTGGGATGTTTCTATTTGCTCTATTACGCAGTGATATGGATGCTGCAATTTATCACGTATATGCTCGGAGAATGTAGGACCACTTCTGACGTTACAGTTGAACATGTCTCTTTCCTCAGTCTGGTTGGTCCAAGACTCTCATGGAGGAGAAGGGCCTGCTAATTCCTTATTGGTCTTTGCAGTCGCATTTATAGATCATGAGAGAACCTAGTTCAAGGAGCCATTTTTTACACACAAAGAATTTTATAAGAAAAATAGAAATAATTAACTGGAAGAAGGATTTTAAGCCCAGCGTCCTGTTTGACAAATGTAGGCTCAAGTGGACCCACACATATGTGTTTTTGGTGAATTGTCGGTTGAGGCCCACACTGTCACCCTCCTTCCTAACAGGGGTGACAGGGGAGGGCTGGCTCCCTCCCCTTCTGCACATGAAAAAAGGCCTTTGCTTTTACTAAGTAAATAGAATATATCTGTGTAAATCTGAAGGTAAAGTGGCTGTGAATAATAAACATAGCAGAGGGTATAGGTATCAGTCCACAAATACAAGCTGGGGTGTACAAAAAGCATCACTTCGCAAAAATCGCTTTGAGTCAACTACGACCTACGCCTAAGCCTTCTTGTGGGCCCGACAGGAAGTTGATTTAGGGCTCTCTTTCCCTCCTGTATTGTGCAAAGGCCCCAGGACCTACCTAGAAGTACAGCACACTTTCTGCACATCACTGGCCACAAGGTAATTATCTCTAAGACATCCATTCTCTTAGTCCAAATGTTCATTTCTGGTCAGGAGGCTTTGTTGCTTGCTTCTGTGCTGGGAATCTTTGCCAAGCCCAGAGCCTTCGTGTTTGCAACCCAGTCCTACCAGCCATATGGAGCCCCACTCTCAACATGAGTCTTGCCACCTTCTGCTAAGGCTACTGTGGAACAGTGCATCCCCTCCTCAGAGGAGACCCATGGGCTCTGATGTCCTCCCAGATGTGGGAAGTCTTTCCCTTGACCTTCTCAAATCCACACCCCTCTCTCTCCTTTCCCTCCAGGACCACTCCAGTTTGTATGCTCTGCTCTGTTGCAAAATCCCAGAGCTAAGAGAGCATGAAACCTGGCCCCTGGCTAGAAATGGCAGGAGGGAGAGGCAGGGAAAAATAAAGGAACAATAGAACTCAAATAATTTCTTGGTTAGTTACACTCCCACCCTACTATTTAGAAAGAGAAGTATTGCTGTGTTGGGCTTACCTTTAGATATGGTGGGTCATATAATCCCGCCTGTAACCCACAAGGACACATTTATTATCTCCTAGGCCAGTCATGCAGCCAGTAGTAGGGCCAGCATTTCAGTTCAGGCCAACTGGATCCCAAAGCTGATATTCTTTTTAAAAATATGCCGCAAATGTAAGGACAAACCAAACTTTTTCTTGCAATTCTTCTCTTTCTGAAGAAAGCACTTCTGCCGCTAAAGTATTTCTGCCATATTAATAGTAACCTGAATTGGATAGTGCCTTTTGCTGGGACTTCTGTGGGCTGGTTTGCTCTTCTGATTCCTCCAGGGCACACTGTCCCAAAGGATGCTTCATGGAGGCGTGTGTAGTGTTTCCACTTATTCTCATCTCTTTTTCCAGTCTAGGCTTCCATTAAACCTTTTCCTCCCCATAACACATACTGTGCTCTGCTTATCACCTTGCTTATTTTTCTTTGGTAACTTCTTACCTCTCTCTTGACCAGGAATGCCAGTCTGAGGCATTTGTCTTCCAAATTCTCTCTCCTTTGTGAGAGTGAATATCTTGCTCCTGGTTAAATTCTGGTGAGCTGGATGCCTGTTTGTATAATATGCGTTTCTGCTACTGGATTGTGTGCTGTTTGATAATCATCTTGGTGACCCCAGTGTCTAAGACCGTCAGTGTTGCACTTTTAAGTTAAAGAGATACAGTGCCTTAAGGTTGTCATGTCATTGAATCCCTACAACACTCCTATGAGGGTGATATTTGGCTTATACTGAAAGCAAAGTGACTAGAAGAAATGCCAAGATATATTGAATAGTAGCATTAAACAGCACTGCAGAACTAGTTGGAAACCATGGCATCAAGCCAAAGCAGACTGACAAGCCAATTGCCAGTAACAGAACAGACTTTGCAAAATAGCTGTTGCCATAAACTGAGGAGAGGTCATTCTTAGTGATTTAGGTAGAAAAGTTTGCTGCCTTACTAACAGTTTTAGGGCATGTGCCTATAGATGGAGATGCCATGGTTAGTGATGTCTTCTGAAACCTATGGGGAAACCTGCCCGCATTCTGGAGAACACAGCCTGATCTGTAAATGGCAATGGACTCTGCACAATTATGAAGGGTTGGTTATGGCCATTTGGGACAAGTTGGTTACATTAAGGTGACTAGTGCTAACTAGAACTAGGTAGGAGAGAAAAAAATCACACAAGTAAAAGCTAAGGCAAGCGAACTTTATCACTTTTAAAATTCATCAAAGCGATTCTTTCAATGTCTAGATTTCTTTCTTTCCAATACTGAAAGGTAATGTCATGGCACCTCGACTTTGCCTAGGACACCCTGACTTTGTCACCTGTATGACCTTAAATAAGCTTCTTAGTTTCTTAAGACCTCATACTCAGTATAGGTTAATGAAACCTGCCTTGTAAGAGGTCTTGTGAAAATAATATGAGGTAACAGATATTAAAGTAATTGATACAAATAATATAGATAAAACATTTGATTTTTTTTGCTCAAGACATAACATTATAATAACTTTAAAAATTATACTTATTTTGGTTTGTTTGTTTTTCTTTAAATATCTTTAAATTTCTTTAAATATCTACTTCTTGTCTGTTTTGGTCTTCTCAAGACCTCCTTAGGACTCTATTTGGGTCCTTATGGTTGGGTCCCTGCTGCTAGCCTCGTCCTACACTGATAACTTTCTGTATTCTGCCTGTTACGGGATGCACTATGTTCCCTCAAAATTTATATGTTGAAGTTCTAACCTGAGTGCTTCAGAATGTGATTGTATTTGGAGATCAGGTCTTTTAAGAGGTAATTAAGGTAAAATGAGGTCATGTGGGTAGGCCCAATCCAATCTGTTACTCTTATAAGAAGAGGAGATTAAGACATGTATTTAATCTATAACCATTATCCTAGCAACCAACTTGACTAGTCCATACCTATTCTATAGGGAGATGAAAACTGTATTCTTTTTTATTTAGGATTATTTAGCAAGGACATACTTGACTTTGATTAATTTTGGGTACTATCTGAGTGACTGTGGAGTAACTAAGTTGATTACTGAGTATGGCTTACGGAACCAGTCTTGTTGGCCTGACTATATAAATTATGAAACAAAACCATTTTCAAAATTAAATTGAGGTTTTAGTAAGACAAAGTTTTTGAAGCTAAGGTTTCAGTATGGCAGCTTTACTTTTAGGGTTTAATGTGTTAATTTACTTTTCTATGCATTCAAATGATTTCTTCTAATCCAACTTAAACAATCAAACTAACTAACTAACTAAACAAACAAACAAATAAATAAAGTGAAAAAAGTCCCTGAATTAAGTATTATCTTTTTCTGTTGAACTTTTTCTTAGAATGGGCATAGTAGGCTGTAGACTCCATGTGACACGTAGTTTATTTCCATATGTCTTTAGGCTTTCCTGTGACTCTCTTTGTTGGTTTCTCTTTTACTAGAAGCACTAAAATTGGTCCTGAAAATTGGGGATTCCTGATAAGGAAACTGGGTCGAGTCTCTGTTCTTTGTAGGAAATTTTTTGTGACAAAACAATTCCAAAATGAAAAACAAGTGCGCTTTTTACTCTCTTTTAAAAAATAAACTAAATGAGTTTCAAATATTATATTCTATTTTTCAGTAAAATTAAATGCAACAGTGCTGCAAAAATAGATCTCTTCATTCTATAACTTGTTTGAATAAAAACTGTATACTGAATAATATGGGATAAGCAGGAACATGTGGATAAGAAAGAAATGTCACTCTTTTATCAAGAGTGCTCTGGCCTCAAAGAGGATTACTTGTCTGTCATTCATATGATTATTTTATAAAGTTAAAATATCCATACATGCAGAGAAAACAATTTTCCTTAGATCTCCCTCTTGGAACAGAACATAATGTATTAAAGATCAACTGATGCCTTATATTTCCATCAGTGGTATAAGTTAAGATTTAGTTTATAATATAATTGAGACCTCACAAAATATAGAACACCATTTTCAAATGGAATTGGAATTTCCCTACATTCTCCATTTGAAAAATTATTCTTATGCATATAGGAGCTAATACAGAAGAGTTGTTTTTCTGATAAACGTTTTCTCTTTTCTTCTTTGATGTCTTATGTCAATGGAAAAGAACCCCCAAAATAAGTGCTGCTCCTTATCATCGTATAAATGTGATTCTAGAGTGCACTTCTCTGTCCTAATCACTGAAATTATTTGGTTATCAAAGCCATACATTTGACTTTCATCCTTTTCAGACTTATCCATGATATTGGTCTGGCCTTGAAAACACTGAAATGGCCTTTGTTTGATATTCAACATGTAATTTCAGAGAGACGTGTTCATTTTAAAAATTGAGTCTGAGTGTTAGTGTGATGGAGGAGTCTTAGCAAAGCCTGAGCATAGAACCATATTTTCCAAGGGTGCGTAGGGGGAACAGGTTGAGTAAACAATAAAATGGCTGAGGGTATATTTGTGAGTGTGTATGTGATTGTGGTGTGTGTGTGTATGTGTGTATACATTCAATTCTCTTCCCTAGAGTGGACAAATATATTCTCTAAAGCACAGACTACTTCCAGAGGAAATCTTTAAAATCCCTTTTTAGCAGAATTACACTATACTTGATATTCTGGAAAACAATTTCTCCCAATCAGCTGTTCCTAATAAAGAGGCAACAGGCCATATGTTCTGTGACAAATTGGACTTGATTTGGCAATGGGAGTTGTATGACCTGGTTTGGAAATATCACGAGACTAAGAGAC